CTTAACCCTGCTGCTGAGTTAATTGAGTACAAACTATTTGTGCCATTTGGATTCAATTTGCATCTACTGAAGTAAGCTGGGAACAAGGGGGAAAAGTGGGAGGAGAAGAGAAAAGTTGGGACTTTTTAAAAGCAGAGGAAAAAGTGGGGTGATAAAAGATTAATTGGGATTGCTCCTGCCAAATTGGGAAAGTTGGCAGATATAGGTACAGCCTGGAATATACCATTTCAAAACATAGATGAGATATTGGCTGAGAACCTACATTGCCTAAGATAGTGTAAACTTTGTGTAACTGGAACGCTGCAATGACTTGCTACTTACCATGCCCAGGACTCCTGGTTTTGCTGCAGTAGGTACTCTTAGAATTGCCATCCTGCGGTAGACAAGAGAGGGATCTGAGAAGCATCTGGCTAGGGGGCATAACCAGATGTTTCTCAGATCCTCACATCTCCACCAACCACAAAAAGGCCATTCAGGGGGTGTGTGTGGGGGGGGGGGGGTATCGCAGCAAAACCGTAAGTCCAGATCTTGGGGAGTTTGGAGTTGATTAGTTGTTATTGAGGGTTGAAGAGCATACTAGCATTTGCAATGACCAAAAATGACACAGGCTGAAAGAAGATGGCCTTATGCTTACTCATGTCATTAATAGGATGCTAATTGTATTTTTTCTGCATGTAAAAAATGCATTGCATATGAAATGCTAGCATATAGAATTCTACTCTATGACATGAGATAAAGATTTAAAAGCTGTTTCTGAGTTACTATGTTGCAAGCAAAGTCAATAGTAACCATAAAATTCATTTTCAAAGGTTAGTATTTCACCTCTGTTTGGCAGTCTTTTCAGTCTGATCTGAGTATCCTTTTGAAAATTACTATGAGTTTCATGAAAATGAAAACCCAAAAGGCATTGAACCAGAAATAACAAGTTCCTCTTTGAAAGAAGTTAAAATAGGTGTTCCTTTTCCAAAGAAATATCCATCCAGGATTTTGAAAAGCATTGGCCTTTATCTTCCTTGGTAATCTAGTATTAAGTTCTGAGTGGGGGGAAATTAAAGTAGATGTTGAATATCTGTTATCTGAAATGCTTTGGAGTTTGGAATTTTTTTTTTGTATTTTGGAATATCTGTATTGCACAAATGTATATAATGAGATATTTCGGAGATAGGATCCAAGTCTAAATACAAAATTTATTAATGTTTCGTCCCTTATACACATAGCCTGAAGGTAATTTTATATACAATATTTTGAATATTTGGATTATGAAACAGCTTGTGTACAACAAACTATCAGAAAACTCCAGTTGCACATGTGGATAACGACAGATTTTGGAATAGTTTGGATGCTCAACCTTTATATCATGTTACTAGTGGATTCATGGCATTCCGATGTATCTCTCTTCCCCTCCCAGGCTTTGGTCCACCCTTGATATATATGATGAATAAAAATTGCTCTCTTTTATGAAGACCATGTATCCATCTTAATAACTTTTGCCTACCACCAGAGACAAAGCTGAAGATGGTGACTTGAAATTGAATGCCTAAAAGAGATCAGATTTTCTGTTGTGATCTCATCTGCAGCATATTCCATTTGATGCGAAATGATATGTTACCTGCAGGGACTTAGCACTGGGGTGATATGAAAATACTGACATGTCAAAATCATTGGGGTTTTTTTTTTGCTAAGCCTCCAAACCTGTTATTTTCTGGCTTGGAAATGTGACTGATACTTTCTGAGGTCCTGTTCTTTTTGCCTAACCTATATTACTATTTACTTATAGCTGTGCAGAGGATTTCTGAAAAAAAATGTCTCTTTTCCTGTGGAGTTACTACATATTATTTGAATTCATTAAAATATATATTCCATTTTCTTTTCTACTCTGCAGATACTTGAATGAAACATAAAATGTTTAGAGCTTACTTCCTGCCTCTGATATTCTGTATCCCTGCAGGCTTAAATGTCTATGCTGAAGGAAAACAGCCTGAATCCTATTTTTAGGCCAACTAAAGCACACTCATGGAGTGCATGGTATTTCTGTAAGAGTTATCTTGCTCAAGTTAAAAGAGGAAGACTGCATTCTAGGTGGATTGACCAAATCAAGGAAGCCAAAGCTACTGGCTGTTAGGAATTGTGGAAGTTGAAGTCCAAAACACCTGGAGGGCCAAAGTTTAGCTATGCCTGATCTAGAGGCTTCTTGTTCACAGGTCACCATAAATCAAAGTTGATTTGATGACAGTTATTAACAGCAAAAACAACAACAACAACAAAACCACTTGGCTTGGGGACAACACAATGATTAGATGAACCTGCCTACTCACTAGCAGCAAGCTATATAAAGATGAAGAGAAAAAGTGTGAGAACGATTTGTGTTTGAGCGAGAAATTGGGGAAGATGCGAGAGAGTGAGAGTGCAAAAAGGTGATCGTGCTCACTTTTGTCTCCGACCTTACTAACTGCTGCATTCAACCACTGTTACTTCTGGTAAGAGGTTCCAGGACAAATTAGCCCCGAGAGAACATGGCCCTAAATCTTTGCGCTAAGTGGAGATCATTAGGGAACAAATCTGTCAGGTATAATATGACTGCATTTTGTGAATTCAGAGCTTTAATTGCTGTAAATGGTTCTAGAGTATTTCATCCAGAGAACCATGTTATTGGATGGCAGACAAAAAATTATAAATGCTGGTATGAACAAGCAATTAAATAGGCATACACACTGGATAAAGGCACACATCCTATTGCTTTTTTATTCTAAAAAGAGTGTTGCTCATTTTGCTGTGGCATATTCTCCAACTGTCCCAATTTGGCAGGACAGTCCCAACTAATACATTTTTTCCAGCCGTTTTATAATTTCTCAGTTGAAATCATCCCTCCACTTTTGGTTCACTTAAATTGCTGAAAGCTGAATTGAAAGTGCAAAAATTATGTCAGCAGGAGGGAGGGGAGGGGAGAGGAAGCATGAAATTCTGCCTTTTGTTGTAGACCCACACAAAAGCAAACTGCTGCAGCCTTTCCTAGCTTGCGTGTTCTCCCTCAGTAACAAGGTTTTTGCATCTGACCATGCATTGCTTGGCTACATGTGTCCTGGTTTTTATATGTGAGATGTTGGAAGGTATGCTTTTTTGTGTGTGTCAGGAGCGACTTGAGAAACTGCAAGTCACTTCTGGTATGAGACAATTGGTCATCTGCAAGGTTGTTGCCCAGGGGACACCTGGATGTTTTACCATCCTGTGGAGACTACTCTCATGTCCCAGCATGAGAAGCTGGAGCTGACAGACAGGAGTTCACCCCGCTCCCCAGATTTGAACTGCTGATCTTTTGGTCAGCAGTCCTGCCAGGACAAAGGTTTAACCCACTGCACCATCGGGGGCTCCTTGGAGGGTATGCATTCCAAAAGGTTTACCAATGCTACTTCCAAACATTTTTCTGTTGTGGATTTCATCTATCCAGCTATATGGTTTTCAAGTTTACTGAATCTTATCTCCTTCCACATGACACCTTCCACTCCAGAAATATGAAGTGGTATTTCTATGCATTTCTCAAAGAAGCCATGCTACATTTACAATGAAAGTTGATACGTGTCAGCTCAGAAGCACATTCCACTGAGTTTAGTGGCTTACATTATGGTTACAGATTGGCAACCTTGCATCCTTTCTAAGTCACTTATAGTGCAACCATAATCATGTCAACCTGGCAGCAAATCCTACTCTTAAACAGCCAAATCTGGGGGTGGGGGTTGCTTATGTTTTAAAATGCTAGGTCAGATTGGTACTTGATAATGAAGAGCATCATAATTTAGAAGTCAGGGAACAAATTCACCAAGGACTAGAATTCTGGACAAATTATCTACTTTCAGATGTGATAAACTACACCTTTATCTATGAAAGCTTTATTGCACAGTAAACATGTTATTCATGAGTACATAAATAGCCCTGATGAATTTGACTAAAGGTCCATCCATCAGGACTATTTTGTTTAGCCGCATTGTGTTTCCTTCTGCCACTAAGCAGATAACTCTAGGAAGACTGAGGAATTATCCCGTAACTTTGCATAGTTGGCCTTATTTTTTCTACCTGAATCAATAATCCACAAAACATTGTGTCAGGGGCTTACTAGTTTTCTGGGAGAGAACTACTTATGTGCTGTAAAGAAATAAGTTCATTAATGAAAAAATGACAATCTCATATGCTCAAAGACCAATTCTGCAGAGAAAGCTGCCTCCTACAACTTGATATGGTTCAGTGCCCCCCCCTTTTCTGGTTTCTAATAAAGCACACATAGTACCTGCTATCACCCCAAAAGCTGCCTAATATAGCATCCTCACAGTTTGTACCAAGTGAAGTAAACTAGGAGGAGAAGAGAGAAGCTGGGATATTTTTAAAGCAGCTGAAAAAGTGGGATGTTATCAGAAGATTATATGAGACTATTCTTGCCAAGTTGGGACAACTGAATGCCTCCTGACTGGATGGAGGCTGCAGGAAGAATGAGGCAGAATTTATAGAAATCAGACACCAGGAAAAGCCCCAAGAATTTCACCTTACTACCCTTGCTCTACAAATATGTCATTACCATTATAAAAGCGAAGCGTCCATCACTTTTCAACAATAAAGTAAAGGTAAAGGTTTCCCCTGACATTAATTCTAGTTATGTCCAACTCTGGGGGTTGGTGCTCATCTCCATTTCTAAGTCGAAGTCATTGTCTGTAGATGCCTCCAAGGTCATGTGGCCAGCATGACTGCATGGAGTGCTGTCAACAGTATCCTTCAAATATCAGAAGTCCAGGAAACACTGGTTTATAGCCATAAAACTATGCAGGGAAATAGGGAGTGATGAGACAAACCTGAGCTACCATTTTAGTTTTTAGGATTTCTCAATATTAGAAAGGAAATTATTTTGCATTAAAGGCAGGGAGATGTCATATAGATGCTACTTGATGCACTTTGTATACAAAGTCAGAAACAGGCAAATGGATATGAAAGTCAAGAGAAAGAATACCAGAGCTTACAGCATGTTGCATTGTCCTCCAGATAGTCCTCTGGGAAGCAGAAGGAAAAGGGAGGAAAAAAGAAGAGAAAAAGAGAGTTCAAGACAAAGCGTTAGACTGGATATGGCTCACTTTTAAAATATATCCTGGGTGTAGCCCCGTTAGACTGTTGCAGCAAAATAACACAGCCCCTCTTAACTTCTCTCATAAGCTGCCAAAAACGCATAAGCTTTTGTGGACATCAGCCCACATTCTCAGAATCTGAACAGTTCAGCTGGACTCCAGAAACCTTGATGCAAATAAAACTGATTCGTTTGAAAAGTGTCCCCAAATTCTTTGCTGCTTTTAAATATGTAGGATTATATTCAATTGTATTTATCAGTAATATTGTTATCAAACATTGATCAAAATATTGAAGTATAAAACATATAAAACTACTGCACTATAAAAATACAAAGTGTTAGTTTATAGAAAGCAGATAGAGATACAGTACATCAGAGCTTCTTAAACTTTTCCACTACAATCCCTTTCAACTTGAGAATCTTTTATGTGACCCCAGATATATAGGCATATAGAAAGTAAAAAAAAAAACCCAAACATTTACTGAAAACAAATCAGCATTTGTAAGGCTTAGTAAATAGACTGGGTTTTGTTTTTATGGAGTAGAGCTGAAGTATCTCCTGCAGAGTCCACTGTAAACACGGCACAACAGATTTGTGTAAATTTCTAAAACAGAATGAAACTTATACTGTGGCCAAATTTTTCGAGACCCCAATATTGATTTTCGAGACCCCAACACTGAGCTATTGCCCAATGTCTACAAAGCAGTGCAATAGTTTACAAAGTAGTGCAATAGATGTACTGACAGCAACAAACCATTGCAAATAGAGTTTCTTTAATTATACATGCTATGGCTGACTATATAGACACATCAATTAGCCTTTTAACTCTTTAAAACATTTAAATTTTAAGTACATATTTTAACTTTTCTCTATAGCTAATGCTAGACAAGTTCTACCATTAGCACTTGGAAAACCAATATAGTTATTCACAAACATCTTGTTTCTTTGCCATTTAAGGAAGTTTAATTTAGGAAGCTTTCTGAAAATTTCTTGTGAATTCAGTTTTTTTCTTTTGAGATTATTTTTAGAAAAATAGAGCCAGGCAACTCCTGTTTAAGGTTTTGGAAACAAATTTATATTTGGTGCTTGATTCATACAAAGGGAGGCAAAAAGAAATACAAAACTCAGTAAAAAGTCATCACTTCATCTGTACTTTTTGTCACCCCCCCCCTCCACACACACACACATCCCTCTCCATAGAGGACTTGTTTTTCAGGTGACATTCTGACAAAGAGTGATGCTTTGATAATGACATAAATATCTTTCACTTCATTCGAAATAGTCCATACCACCTAGTATTGACTGTGTTATGACAAATCAATATAAAACAATTTGGCAGTATATTATCAGAGATCTCAAAGGTATTTTTCTTCCAAAGCTCTTGCATTTATTTTTGTCCCATTGTAGCTTAGCTGAAATCAATTTGTTGTTTTCTTTTTTAAAAAGGTTCTGACTGATCAAAAACAGTTTAGTTTGTGCTAGATTGCTAAGGATGAAGTCCCACTTATTAGACATGTGATAATTCTATTTCTCCATTGAAGTGTAAAATTGCTACACTATCCATTACTCTGTTCCATTGCATTTTCCAGTAGCAATTATTTACAGAAATCTTGGATTCACCTGTCCTTGTTTCCAGTCTGCCTCTTGGTCCAAGTTACAAAATTGATTGAGATTCAAGTTCAGTTACTTAGTGACATATAGTGAACTCAATTATTTCATTAACTATACTTACTTAACTACTATTTAAGTATACAACTGCTTGGTTCAGTATAATGAACTAAACAACATTTCTGGGCCAGACTCATTCCCTTTCCTCATCTTGCCTTATGATCATAGTCATGAATGCATAACCTAAAGTTAGACATTTGTAGCTGATTTGAATTCATGATCCCTACGTATTCACACATTGAAAATGATAGATGTTGATAAAAATAATTTTTAAAAAAGAAAACATATATTGAGGAAGCACACACTCTCACTCTTCACTCACATTCATTTGCTCATTTATTCTGTGGGTGGGTGTATATAAATGAAGTTTTCCTATGGTAAAATTTCCCTCTAAGACACTTAGAGCTGGAGATGAAAGGAGAAGCCTTTGCTTTTGTCTGTATATTTGTCGGTGTATTTGTGTTTTATTGTTTCAAAGGCATTGAATGTTTGTCTGTGTCTGTATATATGCTGGAATCCACCCTGAGTTCCCTTGGGGAGATAGGGCGGAATAAAAATTTATTATTTATTATTTTACTGACACAGAAACACAGTATGTCACAGCAAACAAGATATATATGCTGGATTTCGTATCACAAAATCACAAGTCAAACATTTCCCAAGCATCTAGGACTGTGTGATGTATTTTCGAATGATCCGCGCAGATCCAAGTAAGGTGGCCTTTTGCAGTTGGCAGATCGTGATTTTGTCAATGTTTATTGTTTCCAAATGCCGGCTGAGATCTTTTGGCATGGCACCCAGTGTGCCAATCACCACTGGGACCATGTACTGGTTTATGCTAGAGCCTTTGCAGTTTGATTTTGAGGTACTGATAATGGCAGAGTTTTTCCTGTTTTTCCCCTCAATGCAACTGTCACCTGGTATGGCAACAGCAATAATATCAATATTTATTATTATTATTATTATTATTATTATTATTATTATTATTATTATTATTGGTGTTTAAAAATATTGGTTGAAATTCACTAACACAGTTACAAATGCATAACATAGAGTTAGGCAACTATAGCTGATTCATATTCATTATCTCCATACATCTTAGGTCCAAGTTATTTGAAGGATCACATGTCTCTCTACAAACCTGTTAGAAATTTGCAATCATCTGGAGAGGGCGTTCTCTCTGTCTCATCACCTTTCAAATGTGTTTGGCAGGAAAACAGGAGAAAGCATTTTTGGTGTTTGCTCCCAGACTGTGGAACACCCTCCTAGGAGAGACCAGGATGGTCACAAAAATTTCTCAGGCCAAAAGGAGTCACAGGTCAAAATGTGGGGATCGTAAAAGTACCTCAATCCTGCCTTACCAGGTGCAGCAGCTTGGAGTGATGAAGGTCTGTTCTCCTGTTAATAAAGATGAAGTAAGACATTTCTATTCTTCTCCTACCAGCAATTTTCCACTGTGACACATTAGCAGGGTCCCTGTCACCATTCCTCCTTGCAGTCTGGCAGGAGGATAGTGGAAACATCATTCTACTGCATCCTGGTTGACAGTAAAACAGATCTCCATTGTTCACAATGGCTGCACCTGGTAATGCAGGACTGGGGAACTTTTATGATCCATATGTGTTCTCTACTTTATGATCTACTTTGCCATGATCATGAATACATAGTGTTCATGAATACAAATCAGATACAGATGCCTAACTCTACATTATGCATTTATAACTGTGGTTGTGAATTCCAGCCAAGACTTCTAAACACCCAAGTACCTTAGTGGGAACTTTTACCATAGAGGAATTTGATTTATCTACACTCACCCACAGAATGAATGAATGAATGTGTGGGTACGTGTTCTCTTTTTAAAAAAATCATATTTTTATCAACACATATAATTTTTAATTTAAAGAAACAAGATTTAGGGTATAAGTATACAGGACAAACTATCAACTGGAAACTAAATTAACATATTAAACTATACTTAAACATATATACCTTAAACAAAGATAACAAAAATGAGGGAGGGACAAGTTACTTTAAACTATCAAGCTAATGTTTATAAGTAGTACAATGCCTCACTTCCTCTGCACTATTAAATAAACTTCTACATCAATTCTGCTATTCTTAGAGGCCTAATCCAGCCTGGCCAAAAAGAGAATGTTGCTCATAGAACAGTACACTGTGATGAGCTTGCCCACCATTTTGCAGATAAGATCACTGGGATTTGCATTTACTTGGATGCCAAAGATGATATAGCTCTGGGGGATGAAAAACATGGCTCCTGCTTGTCCAGTGTTGATGGGTACTTTTTAATTTGTGCAGCCTGAGAATGTGAACAGGATTCTTGGAGAGGTGATAGTCACCACATGTGCTCTTGACCCTTGCCCATCCTGGCTCATAAAACAGGCCAGAGGGAGACTGGTGGAGTGGGTTAGGGAAGTGATCAATGCCTCCTTACATCAGGGCAGCATCTCCACAGGTCTCAAGGAGGCTGTGGTAAGACCACTTCTAAAAAAGCTTCCATAGACCCCACTGGACAATGACAGATGCAATCTCCCATTTTTGGGCAAGCATCTGGAGCATGTTCACAACTCCAAGGGTTCTTGGATGAAGCAGATGATCTAGATCCATTTCAGTCTGGTTCCATGCTTGTTTATGGAACAGAGACAGCTTTGGTCACCTTGGTGAATGACCTATGCAAAGAACTGGGGGAGTGTATTCCTGATAGTTCTCTTGTACTTTCAGTGGCTTTTGATACCATCGACTAAAGTATTCTTCTGATTCACCTTTCTGAGATGGAACTTGGAGGTACTGTTCTTTAGTGACTCAATTGATTCCTGGAGGGATGTTCACAGAGGGTGGTGCTGGGGGACACCGGTTTGTCTCCTTGACCACTGGCCTGTGAGTACCCTCAGGGTTTGATTTTGTCCCCCATGCCATTTAACATATACATGAAACTGCTGGGAGAGGTCATCTGAAATTTTGGAGTGAAGTGCCATCTATGCACAGATGAAACTCAACTCTATTACACCTTTCCACCTAATTCCAAGGAAGTGGTTCCTGTGTTAAACTGGTGCCTAGCAGTGTATGGAGAAGGACAAATAAATTGAAGCTTAATTCAGACATGACTGGGTGCTCCTGGTCAGTTGTAAGACAGATATGGGGTCCCACTTCCTTTGAAAACTCAGGTTCACAGTTTGGGCACACTCCTGGATTCGGCTTTGAACCTGGAGGCCCTGGAGTACTTTTGCATAATTAAATTGTGTG